ATTTCATTTGCGCCAATGTTTTGTTTGTTTCGTTGCAGGTATGCCGGCGGCGAATTAAGTTGATGAAGGGTTGAAAGTTTAAAACAATTTGCAGTGTACAGAATGCATTGGGCTGTACCTCGCCGCTCACACCTCCCCACCCGTCGTCTCGCCGGTCTATTTGCACATGTTTTGAATGTCATTGTCATGGTACTAATTGCCGGGACTGCACCACCCCCGCACCATGGTACGACACCCCGCTTCAATAGTTACATTACAGTTAAATTTCGAGAACGTAATTCCACAGAATGCTATTTTACGATTCATATTACAGTACTTAAATCTGAATAAATCTTTAGCTATAACATAGTATAATAAATACCTCCTTAATCAGCTATGTTATTCAAGTACACTTTACTGGGATATCATAGTTGATTAAAGATACTACTATATAATAATATTATTACATTCACTATAAAGACTATAGCGTTTAAAAATACTAAATTTTTTATTTTTTTTTATTTATTTCTTTATTTATATTCAGGTTACTGCGACCCATAATAAATGCGACCCATAAATGACCTAATCCTAACATATTTCACACTAAAGTTACTATAAAATATAACTAGACTAATCTGCTATTGAAAAATTTAACAAACTATATAATATTTATGACAAAAAGAATAGTTTCATCACAGTTCCACAAAAAACGAATCATGTAAGTGCTGAATACGAGTCTCTCAACTCTTTATGTGTTTAGTGCTGATAATATGATAACAATTCTTCATTACACAAAGAAAATACATTAAAAATTACGTGTATACAGAAAAATCTGTAATAGAAACCTATTACAACATGTGACACCGTTTTATGTATTTTGACTTATTATAAGCGACGTATGTTATAAATAAGGGAAATAATTAAATAATGAGACAAGTATGGTAATTCTATATATACGTTGCAGCGTGGCTTGTGTGTGTGCGTGCCGTGTACACACGGTACACACATTCGTATAATCTCGCGATATATTCGCATCGCAAAGCGCTTTACATTACTATACGAATTTGTGCGTGAAGCAAGGCACGAGGCGAGCGCGCACACATACCTCTACAAGTCGATCCAGTATGTGCACAAAGCTTTACTTATTTGTTGACTATATCTGTCAGAAAGATTGAGAAAAGCAAAAACAATCATATACTTGCCTACATAGCGCTGTTTCCCCAAGCTGCCGCCCTTGCCGCAGCTCGAATTATTTTTTCCAGGCAGTTGAGTTTGAATGCGCTTCCGGCTTGAGTTGCCTCAACTCGAAAGCAAACTTTTCGTGTTTACATTACTTTAAATTCTTTACCTTTTAGCTTTCCCGGTATACTTTGCACGGTATCATTCATGTTTAAAGAGAATTTTATATTTTTTTATTCAAGTTTTATTTATTATGAACGTTTACAGAGTTTTTAATTCAATTTCATTTAGACGTACGCTTGAAAGTTGTTTACTTTGTAACTCCACTTAAATACATGTCCATCAATGAGTTGAGCAAAATTACAAGTCAAGATGTAGGTACAATTATATGTGATACGAATTGCTGTCCAAATTATTTTCACGCAATTTGAAATATGACTTTACATGGCAGATTCATAGCTCAAAAGTTTTGACGTTCGTTAATGAAAAAGGGGACAAAATTTCATACACCGTTTGAATAGAAACAGGAAACAGCGTCACTTTAAAATATAGGAGAGCTATTAAAACATTTACTGCGATGAGGTCAATTGAAAACTCGCACAAAGTAAATCCCATCTCCGTTCAATATGCGACTAAATTGCTTTTAGCAGGGGAAACGCAAGCAAATATGATTTGGCGTCGAGCTCTATCAAAGCCTAATTGCTGTCGATAAGTTATATTGTACGTACGATCTGTTACCAAATTAAGCTTTATATACAATCAGTTTTTTTATTAATATTAGGTCTTGTCGACCAACGGTTTGCACTGTGAGCGCTGGATGAGGAAGCCCCGGGTTCGATTCACGGTAGGACCAATTTGGGAAATGAATTTTCTAAGCTGGTTCTAATCTAAGTATTCTGGGTAGTACAGGGAATTCCCTTGTTTGAGACCAAATAATTGTTTGTCTGGCACATTATTATTGTTTTTTAATACTTGAAGCACTTATATACATTTCAGCACTTATCATCGTCATCCACAGACCAATTCCCTGGGTATAAACCATAGATTCCCAAACTTTTCGGCTAACCGCCCTCTTAGGCAAGATAGAAAAAATTAAACGCCCATAACCTTAAAAAATAATTGAAAACACCATTGACCTACCAAAAAAACACATATTTCTTATATAACTTAACACAAAAAAATCACAAGGAAAAAACTGTAAGTTCATATAGATAATTCAAGTTTTTTAGAAATGCGATAGCACCCCCTGGACATCATCAACGTCGCCCAATTGCTTCCGACCTTAGGATTCTTCAGCGCCCACATGGGGGTGCTGGTAGGGACGACTTTGGGAAACTATGGTATAGACCTAACGTAGTTTATGCTATCAATCCAAATCCATGCTCATTTATCTGCCTTAAAAAGGCAAATTATAATAATGAAAATAAAACCAATTTTCGCGAAGCAGCCTACGTTCAACTCACACCCGCATAATCAACCTATTGTTTAGATTCACTGCATGTAAATAGAGTAAAATAAATTTTAATCCGAGGGCTCATTTGGGATCCAGGCATTGCTCTTAATACGGCGAGTGAACGGTAAACTCCACTCTGAACTTAATATATGGCGACAAGCACTCAGCTTGATTACGAATAAAGGAACCTGTTAGATGTTTTATTTTGAAATAACGTTTATGTATTCGTTTATATAGGCGTAAATAACTATATACGTCTATGTAAACAGCAACTGCTGTGTGTGTTTCAATTTTGTAATTTTATTATCTGTGTCGTGTGTGTCTGTGTATTATACTATATTAATTTTCATAGTTTTATTGGTTGACCATACACACTTTCTCTGCATATTTCATCCTCTATAAGATTTATTTTTGTGATAAAAAGTGGCCTATGTCCTTTTCCTAGGTCCCATCTGCTTCTATACCAGTATCAGCAGAGCTCCTTGTGAACTGCCTCCGTGGCCGAACGGTTACTATGCCGGACTGCCACGCAGAGGTCCCAGGTTCGATTCCCGGGCCGGGAGAAATAGTTGTATGGCCTACAATTATTTCTCTCGTGAGTTTGGGTGTAATTTGTGGTTGTCTATGTGTGTGTCCATGGCACCCGCGACACAGGGTTTCCCTAGTGCGGGGCTATGTTGAGTGGTGCGTTATTATTATTATTATTATTAAAAAAAAAAGAGTTCGTCTAAGGAAGTACTGCCACTTTACCTATTTCTGCCGCCAAGCAGTAATGTGAGCATTACCATTACATTACGTTCCGGTTTTGAAGGGTAAGGGTGCTGGTGAAATTACAGGCACATGGGACTTATCAACTTATGCGTCAGGGTTACGGGCGCAGTGGAGGTGCCCTTTTTTCTTCTTTTTGTGATCTTTGCGACTTAAAGCTCTGAATGGAACTGCAACTGTTATAGATAGGCGTGTCCCTTACCACCAGGCGCACAACTTGTTCGTCCCGTCTCTTGGCCTTATAAAATAAAACAAAATTCATCAAATTTCGTCGCATTTATAACATTAGATTGGATAACTTATCCGTATGTTTCGTTGTGTCATTGTACAGATAGGCAACCTAGGCAACCTACTTAGGTTGCCTATTTGGACAGAACGATATACAACGATAAATAGATAACTGTTCTATTATCAAACACCTCTACCATGATATTGTTAGGTTAGCTTAGAGGTACAATTAAATTACAATTAAAACTGTCACTTCCTTAACACCTTGTACGTAACTTACATATTAGTTTTATATATATACACATACATACATATATACGTAGGAAAATGTATTATAGAACAAGCCTATTGATATTTCATGTTACGCGTAGCCGCTACGCCAGACACGTAACCGTAATTGCCACCACAGTTATTAAATTTGAGTGCCACGCAGACAATTTCACTTTCCAATTTACAAGCCACCTTTGTTTTACCCTCTGATTTTCCGCCTTTCAATTAACCAGTAATCATACACACACGAACCCTTTCGCTGAACATCGGTAATGAGTTTTTACCCTTCGCTAAATAGTGGACATCAGTTTCTGATAGACCGTGGCCGTTTTGTTTTTACCTCCACCAGACAGATTGGCTGGTCTGGGCGTTCACTCAATTAGGCGGCTAAATTAGACGCCTAGGCAGTCGACGTGTAGCGTAGCCTAAGGCCTATAAATAGATCAAAAGAATGCGAACGTTGCCTTTCATTAGCCCTTTAACTGGTGCGATAAAGGTCGACAAAAGAGCACAATTTGCGTAGTTTCATGGAAAATCCAGGATATACATATAACAACACGAAGGCAAATATACCACAGATACTTTTAAAGGGAATTATTTTTATTACATGTAAAGATATGTAATATGACAAAACGGTTTCTGAGGGAGGAGTAGAGGTACAAATAAAGACTGTTTAATCTTGTAATAGTATCGATACAGGAGAAAGCCGTACGAGCAAGTAAAGAAGACCTAATTAGTGTGAATGGCGATCTCTGCAAGTGATATCTGAGACAGAACGGTTGTACGGGTAACGTACAAGATTTTTTTTTAATTAACAGCGGTTTCGACTCTTCGGTAATTCAACCATAGACGTGAACATCTTTTTAATTGGTGTAGATGTTATTAATACTGGGCCGACCTAAAAATAGTTTTGAAATTTTCGGAGATTATAAAAAAACATCACAGTGAAATAATATTATTTAATGAGAACGTTGAAACATATTTTAAAAAATGCCGTAAACAGTTACGAATATCCTGACGAAAAATTTATACAACTTTTAATTAAGTAGAATATAGTTGAAAATAACTCAGTCTTGCCGCAGTTCAAATTGACTGTCTAATTTTATAAAACTTATCCAATTAATTAATGTATTTTAAAGTGCAATAGCGTTCACATTAAACATTGAATTTTGTCACACATTTGTTATAAAAAATTTATAATTTTCTTTAAAAAGTATTCTATGTACAAATCGAATGACTACCAAAATTTCTGAAAGCACATTTCCTAGGCTTCAATTGAAGGTAAGCTACATAACAACTGTACAGAACACAACGAGCTTATTTACGTCGTAACGATGTTGTTGGAATAATACATTAATACCCGTTGTTCATGGAATAAATAACACTCGAGCTTATATTATATCCTATGTGATACCGATAATAAAAACAATTTAATACAGGATTGGTATAATAAACACGTATATCAAAACTGGAAGGGATTTTATAACATGACTCACGAGTAGTTTAGTACGTATCTTTGGCAAAAATACATTTTGTTACGAACACTGAATTATATTACGTATGTAAGTTTGCTTACTTTGTTTACTAGAGTACGAATTATTACATAACAATCAAATGGGCTTATATTAAGATATCCGGAAAATATTTACAAATTCATGCTTATCACGAAAAAATTATTCATTTTCATTCTAGCGTTATTTAATTTTGCTTATGAAAAAGACTCGATACCGATGTTGAACGGTATACCAAACTTAATAAATATACAATTGCGTTTATTTTCACCTATATTATTTACAAAATATGAAGTTATTTACAATAAAAGTTTAGAGTTCCGTGCTCATCTCTGTAGCAGGTTTAGTAGTGGTTACGTTGGGAGCGGAGTCCCCGCCGTCTGCGTTCTGTGAGGCCTCACCAACGACGCTTAGTTGCTCTGCATTCTGCGTTCATTACATAAAGTTTACTCGAAAACAAATTTTTACAATGAGAGAAAAATATGTTTTATTTTGAAAGAGCATTAAATATAAATAAAACGCAGTTATAGAATACTTTAGTCACAAAACAAGGTGCGAAAAAAATCTATAAAATGAAACACAAAATGAATTTTCAAAATCACATTACACCGATTAGTTAAGTTGTTAGACTAATCAACCATTATAACTACCACAACTAACCAACACCAGCATGCATAACAGAACAAACAAAACACAAAGTGCCTCCAAGAGCATCCGAGAGGAGACGAACAAACCAGGGTTGCGTGCAGTTACTCATTCCGCTACATGTTGCGACACAAAGGGTGGGTCCTCGATGCGGGCGGTGCTTACTTACTGCGTGCTTTCTATGAGAGGTTTTAGGATAATGTCGAGTGTGTTGTCATGTCGCGCGTGCGCGAGCCGCGAATGCGTGCGCGCAACGTTGGCGTTGTAGTCGCGTGACTCTCGTGACGGTCGCGCGTACCGCCGTGCCAGTGAACCGCTCTCGCCGGCCAATATGTTGTTGTTGCTAGCATGTCTCTGTGTATCCCAATATCATACACGCTAGTCAAACTACCGGTGCACACCAAATAACTTTATATAAACAATGTAAATACTTCAGATAGCTTTATGTATATGGAATAGGTGATTTCAAAGACCCCGAAGAGGCAGACAATGTGCTAGAGTGGCATTGAATCTTCAAGTGTAATTACATGTCACGTAATGGAAGATTTACGCCTCCGTAGCACTTTGTAACGTTGTAAAGCCCCCGAAGCAGAGGTAGAAGATTGTTCTAGTTCTAAGAAGTTCGTCAGTAAATTAGACTATTAACATTTAAACTGTAATTATAGATACGAATACATAATTTATTTTGGCATGTTTGCCGTTGATGAGCACCTAAAAACTCTTTTATGTCCAGATCAGGTCATATAACTTGCAATATCATTTATGTCGTTCATATACCTAACATGAGAAATATAATACAGCAGCCTGTACACGGTTAGCTTTTCAGCGACCCAAAACAGGAGCTGCGGATTACTCCAACGGCCCTCGTAAGCTCATTTAATCCGAAAAAGCATTTTTCTCTTTGAAGGTGTCCCTCTCGCGAACCGGTATTACACTGTTAACAATAATAAAGACCGTCATATTAAATATAAAGGCCGATGTAAATGTTTAATCACGACTCACGACGAGGTCGATTATCCTTTTTATTTCGCAGAGGGGCAATAATTTTCAGGTTAGTTTTCCTCTATCTAATTTCGGTGACAATTTTTATTATTTATTTGAGTATTCAAGTATATTACGTTGAAATATTAAATAATATTTCAGGATAATATTCTAGAACATTGCTGTAAAAATATATAATAGAGTACCAGAACAATTAAGAGACACTGTTAAAATTGTAGATTTTAATAATAATGTTAAAGAGCCGCTAATTAAGAAAGCACACTTCACAGTTACGAATATTTATGCGATAGACTTTAAACACACAATGTAAACGATACAAAGAATTTTTAAATGAAGGTCATAAATATAAAATATTATACATGTCAATAAATAAATAAATGTAATTGAATAGAATGCAAAAATAATGTTATTGGATAAGATTTTAATATAAAATGTAATAGACACTTATTATAATAATTACGTCATAACTAGAAGGTAATATAGAAGCTTGTCAAAGCCACAAGCTTTCTTAATAAATAGTATAAAGTACAAAATGTGCATGTAGTAATTACTTTACTATTACATATAAAAGAAAAATTATTATCATGTCCTACTGGGCCTATAAATGTAATAAGCCACATTCCTTAATTTCAAAATATTGTAAAGAGTAAATCCTCCTCTCTCTAAATATAATTTGCAGTGCCCTACAGGGTCCATAAGGCGCTGTTAAGTTAGCTTTAAGCCATTTCCATCCTATGAAACATTATGGAACATGTAATAAAGAATTTTAATTGAAACATTTGTAGGAAATGAAACTATTTAGCGGGATTTAAATCACGTAGGGTAAAACCGGGTAAGATGCACTTTTTGAAAGGGCCTCCTAATCTAAAAATCATTAGTTTACCATGAATAATTCCTATGGATATAACTATTTTAACCTTTTAGATTACATTAAGACTTGATTTTATTGATCTAACATTTACTGATTTTGAAGAACTTGACTATTTGCACACCTATTTTTTTGAGGATAGATGCATAACTATATGGATAGACGCCACACGACGAAAACACTAAGAAGGATAGATACCCTTTACAAAAAAATTTGTAAAATTCATAGTAAAATATTTTATTTGCAATCTTTAATATATTGTATATACATATTACATCTTTAATAAGAAATATATATTTATTTTTTATTTATAAAGGTACAACAATAGCATAAATATAGTTTTGTTGCAAAAAGGTTTATGGTAAGTGGAATTATTCTTATACATATGCCTATTACTGGTACACACAACTTTATAGAAATGAATTAGTACACAACTAAGTGTGTATACGTGTTTATTGAAAAGGGAAAATATTATTATAATATATATAATTATAAACAAAACAAGAGATCGTTCCTTTTTTAAACAAAAAAAAATAAATATTAAAAACTTAAAATACTTACAGATTTAACGGATATAGGATTACAAATTATGAAGTGGCTTCAACGTATATATACGTATTAAAACTTACTACCAACTTCACTTCTTATTTTTATAGCTATCAAAATATTCTATACAAAAATGTTCGCTGTTTGAACTGTGAATATTTTGTCTTTTTAGTAATTTTACTTACTTTGAAACTATTATCATATTCTTGCTTTTTCAGTAAAATATTTTTTTTTTTTTCTAACTTTCTTGTCTTCTCCTATGTCCCTAAGGGCACCTACACTGCAAAAAATCGAGGTGACTATCCTGTTCGATATGGATAAATGCCCTTTTATTATTAAACTAAGCTATATGTTGTGGATTTAATGAACCAGTGTATAGTTATAATAAAAATAAAACGGGATTTATTATAACTTACAAAGTTATGTGACAGTAAATACTTGCGTCTGAAAATTTTGAACCGTTTGTCGTGTTCGTCGCGGACATAAACGCACGCACAAGGTAAACGCGTCTATTCCACACGAAGCCCTGCGGAACTTTAATGAGTGGTGTCTATACTCCTTATTTAAACTAATTGTTCTTTGTTGCGATTTGGGGAAGTTAGGTTTTTTGAAAACGAGGCACCCATTCTGCTGCGGCATCTATCCCGGTTTTACCCTATATTTATTTTTTCACATGTCAAGTCAGTCAACCGTGACCATGTGAACTGTAAAGGGCATGAAACGTTGCTTTGTTTGAAGAAAACAAACATACGCGATTTAAATCCGGAAAAATAGTTTCATTTCCTATATGTAACAATCGCGGAAACCTAAGAACTCTATATTGAAACATTTAAATAATAAAAATTGCCACCGAAATTAGATAGAGACAAGTAAGTTGAAAATTACAGAGAGGGGACGAGGGCCGCGGGAGCGCGCAAGTATGTTAGGAAGCAAAGCGCCCACTCACGAAGAGCGAAAAAGATGAGTCGGCGGGGTGCGGATAGTGGCGGGGCGCGAGGTCGCGCGGGCGGCGCGCGGCGGCGCTGTCGCTGGCCACCGACAGCAGCGAGCGCTGCGAGCCCGAGGCGGGCGCGCGCGCGCGGCACGGCCCGGCGGGCGGCCGCCGCACCACCACGTGCGTCTCCGCGCGCGGCAGCGCACCGCCGCCGCTACACCACCCGCCGCCTCCGCCGCCCCACTGCCTACTCACTGGCCCGCCCGCTGACGATCCGCCGGCGCCGCACTTCGCGCTGTCGCTCGACCTGTATCCAAGTTACAATAACCTACTAAGATCCGGATAATCTCAATACAGAGTACTAAAAAAAATTGACCTCAAAAGTTCGTGGAGTTACATCTATTTGCCAAGTTTCGTTGAGATCGTTTACCGAAAAGTGCGCGAACCTGATTCATCCCCTAGTTTGCCGACCTTAGAGGTGGAATATTTTCTTCAAATTTTTTTTTATAATAAATAAGTGCGTCCATCTTACCTGAATGAAAGCGAAGATAAGATAGACGATGTACCATGTACACTTAAATAGTGCCTATTCAAATTGGGACCAATGCTGAGGTACATACACACTTTCCAACAAAAATATAATCATAAAAATCGTGTGAACCGATTTTTATGATTGATGAGTGATCGCGTAACACACAAAAAAATACAGTCGAATTGAGAACCTCCTCCTTTTTGAAGTCGGTTAAAAACTAGAGTAATCTGGTCTAAGACTATGCACTCAATAATTATTTTATTTAGTAGTCTACGAATCTAACTTTTACATAGTGACATGCAAAGTAATTATAATTAATAATGTGGTTGTAATTAATAACATAGTGCAAAATGGGATTTGCGTACTTTTACACTGTACTAATGGGTAAGAGTACATACTCGTATATGCATCGGCAAGAGTACGCAACCCCTTTTTTGATAGGATTTCGATTATCGGTCGCACAAATCGTACGCAAATTTCTCGTATTCAGTTCAAGCTTCATGGCACCACAAATGGTATTGAGAGCATTCAGACCAATCTTCACGTATGTACAAATAAAAATATAGGCTCTTTGTAAATCTATTGGCACGCTGGGGTAAATCGTTCTGGTGATGACATTTTTTGTCTCGTTATTGGTCTTATTTTTTGTAATAATTAACTAATATAAAAAATAGTGAAATATTACGTGCGAACTCTTGCAGCACATCTAGTTACGTACTCTTACACACTTCACCCATTCCAGAATAAAATTACTATGACCTTATAAGATTAGCAGAGTGTGATTGGACGAACAAACCCCAAGCCCACATCCCACCAATGTTTCGAGGAAAAATATATACGGCCCTTTACGCTGCAGAAACTTTGCAGGAAAAAAATACCTCTCAGAAGAATACGCGTAGTCCTGGTCAGCGCCAAGTCCGGAGTCTGTGTGTTCGTGCGAAACGCGAGCGCTGCCCGATATAAGTTCTCCGCTAGAACTATTACTGTTGCTATTCGTGACGGGGCTGTACGGATTGTTGTTGTTCGACACCGGAGTCACATTGCCTTTGTACCCACGATTCGTCAAGAAGTCATCTCCTGGTTGCCCGATAGTCTCATCCAAACTGGGATATACACGTCTGCAGAAAAATACAATCTTCAGCTTTGAAGCTATACTTCGTTTCAATCCATTTTGAACAAACAAGTCACTGACCTGACTATGACGGTTTAGTGATGGCCAGTTGTAATGCCAACTACAAATCGATTAATTAATTGAATGAATCGATTTGTTCAACGGAGTCATACTAGCGGTTTTCCTTACATAACCTATATAAGCATATTTAAAATTTCAATTTAAATCCTCCTTCAAATCCTTACACTTAGATACTCGTTCGATTGCGATTGAAATGTTCAATTTAATAATCGATTACTAAACTTTAATTGATTGAACCGAATGTTTTTTTTCGAACAGCACTATGCAACAATAGGCAAGTCATAGAAGTACCTACAGAGGAATAATAACCTCACTTTTGGACTACCATTTTTCAAATACGATTTTACGATGCTATTCAAATAAATATTGCTGGAAAAAGTAATGATATATCAAGTCGAAATCTTCGAAATATACGTGAAAGTGTTACTGATTCGATTTATTCAATGATTGCTTTAGAATTTTAACCAAACAGGTTTTTTTTGTTCAAAATGGATTGGAACAGACTATACAGCGTACCTTAACTGTATATAAGTACTTCTAAAAACAAATAAATTACCTTCCATGTTTCTCCATGCTGGTCCTATGTGTGCTTATAGTACTTGAACCTGACCTAAGAGATCCTTGGTGGTGATTGTCGTGGACATTTTTGCTAAGTGACGAAGAACTCTTGTCTCGTCTGGCCAATGAGCCATGTTCAGTTCTAAAATTGAAAACGTGATTAGTTTGCTGCATCTGCACAACTACAACATTCATTTGGAATGGGATATTATAACATACTGTTTATGCTTTGATGAGGTTCTAAGCTTCGTTTGTCGAGCATGGCTGGTCTGAACAACTGTGTATGGGATTTCTTTCAACTGTTCCTCAGTCATACCAGTAGTATCAACCAATGAGAACTCTAAATGTTGTTTTAATTCAGCCGGGAGCCATTTCTTATCATTCGGAGAACCGGACCGAGACCTGATAAATAACCTTTGTTAGTTTATGTGAAAGGTGTTGTTTATAAACGGAATTGCAAGCAGCGAATGTTTACCGATGCTTTTTATGTCTACGATGCCTGTGCGACGATCGATGCGTTCCGGTGTCAGGCTCCATTTGTGAGCGTCGAACGCTTGCAACCTATAATACATTGTGCAACGTGAGATTGAAAACATTGTTTCACGTAAAAGCTAAACAAGACGCCTGAGAGAACTTACTTGAACGCCGCCGCCCGAGTTTGTTTGCCTTAGTACTTCTTTCCACTGGGACTCTGACTCTACTAGTTCGTATTCTCTGCAAAACATGAAATGAGTAATTTTCAAGTTAGTTTTCTCTACCTAATTTCGGTGACAATTTTTATTATTTAATCATTTGAGTATATTATAGTGAAATATTAAAATATTTCAGAATACTACACTTGAATATTAAGTACCTAATACTTCATGATAATATTTAAATAATAAAAATTGCCACCGAAATTAAGTAGAGAAAACTAATCTGAAAATTTCTCAAATTAATTACCTCCATGGCCGAACGCTTACTATTCTGGGCTGCCACGCAGAGGTCCCGGGTTCTATCCCCGCACCGGGAGAAATATTTATATGGCTTACATTTATTTCTCTCGTGAGTTTGGATGAAATTTGTGGTGTTCTATGTGCATGTCCATGGTACCCGCGACACAGGGTTACCCTAGCTCAGGGCAATGAGTAAGCGCGTTATTTATTTAAATAACGAAGGGTACGGTCATTATATGGAAATTTCGAAAGACAAGTGTAGGTTTTTTGTGTAGTCTATCCTATACTCTAAACCTAAGAAGCTCGGAGTACACTAACTTGGTATCAGGGAGTGTATCGTCCCTTTCAGAGCCAGATTCGTGCTTGTGCCGTGAACGATGTCGTCGATGGCGTCTGCCGGAGCGACCCGAGCCGCGCGACATCTCGCTCTCCGCGTCGGACTGCTGCCGCCGGGACCGATGCTTGTGTCTGAACGAAAAAGAAAAAATATTGCTCGTCTTGTCCTAACGCCTAATTACGTTGTTATAAACACCCTACTAACGTATTGAATAAGAGAGAATTTTTAATTACGAAGCTTAGACAATGCTATATAAATAAATGTTTAAGAAAGTTTCTTCGCAGATAATAAAGTTCGATCTATATATAGTTGAATGCGCATAGATCAGTTAGTATATGTAGCACATGAAATCAAATACTGTCATAACAAAAAATGGTGGAATTGAAAAAACTCGATTTGAAAGTTTAAAAATTACTGAATGAGACTAATAAATTTATATTCTCGTCGTCGTTATAAAAGGATAGCTAAATATTATGTATAAATAATCTCATTATTTGCAATAAGATTCATTCAGCATTTTTTTTAATTTTCACCATTTTTGAGTTACATCAGTATTTGGTTTCATGTGCGAATTGTGATGGCATTGAAACATGTTTTAAAATGATGATGATGAAAATTAATATTTATTTGCCGAGTGTTGCCTAAAATAGATAGATTATTTTAAGATTTCCAAGAAATTGGTAGCTCAGTGAAATCAGCTTCGTATTTAATAACAATTTCACCAGAACTCATTAGGAATGGCGGTAAACACATCAATTTATTCACCAGTAGGAAACGCGACACATGAGGAAATAAATAGGACCACTCACTTGCGGTTAGATCGTGAATCGTTAGAGCTCTGTGAATCAACGGAGGCGGATCGGTCGCGGTGGCGCGGCGCAGGCGGCGGCCGCGTCGCAGTCGGAGACGCAGAATAGAGTCCGCGTCGCGTCGGCGCCGACCGCGTCGACCGCGGCGAACCGCCCGGCGCTGTCGACGGCTCGCATTCTGCCACTTCACCACTTATTCTAGACACAAAAGATAATATACTTAAACGTTATAATAAGTACTTTATAACGATATCAGGAAGTAACTGTCCTGCTGTTGTACCACCGATCACATTGTAGTTTTTAGTACCAGTAGCTTCTTGTGAAAGAGTTCGTCCAGGGAAGTACTGCCACCTTATCTATTTCTGGCGCCAAACAGTATTGTCAGCATTGCTGTGTTCCGGTTTTGAAGTGTACGGGTGCTGATAAAATTACAGGCACATGGGACTTATTAACTTATATCTCAAGTTGACAAGCGTAGTGGCAGTGCTCCTTAGATCTTTGCGATTTAAAGCTCTGAGTGGCACTGCAACTGTTATGGTCAGGCGTGTAGCTTACCATCAGGTGCACGACTTGTTCGTCCTGTCCCTTGATATTATAAAAAAAAAAAATTAATTCGGTATATCCTAACAGAGTGTTTAAATTTAACTATCTACAACATGTGATTAAGCCTGATCGCTGAGACGATGATGATATGAAGAGGGAGCGGAGAGTTTTCTCAGTAAGGGCTGATAGTTGATTCACAGGTTTGCTCTATACTCTACTACAGCCAAGATAACACTTTTCAAGGCTTACTGTTCTTCTTTTACGCGGGTAGCCTGTGAACCGACATACACAAAAGTCGTACATTGCTGTCTGCACCTACTAAAATAATGCTTTTAGGATGCTGGTGCGTCTGCAATGTTTGCGTAAGCGCGGACAGACTCCTTTTCTGCCATACTACGGAAGACTCACTTTTAAACAAACTTCGTAACAGTAGCAACAGTATCCTGAAAATGATTGCTGAGAAACTAGAGGGGCCTTTCATAAGGCTCCTCATAGATTTTACGCGATCTTTGTTTAAAATAATTTAGTAACATAGTTTATAAGTTTATAAATATGGATTTACATTTTCCTAAAATAAATAAATAATTATATTATTATTGTATATTTTATTGAGAGACACAATACTCACGAGTTAGGCCGATGAACCGAGGTAGGTTGTTTCATTTCTGGTTGACAGTCTCTTATTCTCAAGTCTTCTAATTTTGGCACTGTGGAAATTACAATCATGAGAAAGGAATGGATACCTTAATTACCATGCCATAAAGTTCAGTCATTTGATGTAGTTTACCATCATGTAAAGACGTGTGGGAAGCATGGGAAGGCCGTGAGATGCGTCGTGATGGTGTTCTCGTAAACGCAGGAGGCGGTCGTGGTCTTGTTCCTCGCCCACTGTTACAATTGTACCATATGTTTATTAACTATATTCAAACATAGTTAAATAAGTATTGTAAGAAAGGCAATAATACCTATTCCTCAGTCTTGTTCCTAATGAGAAGATATCAGCAGACGCCGGTGAAATTTGTTGCAGTCGGAAGAAAGTGTGATGGTCGGAACAACAACGCCATAAGTGGCGACATGCTGCCCTCGTGGGAGACTCGAAACCATAAGTCGACGTCTCATTCTGTGAATAAACGCGACACTAGAACATTTTTTAATCTGAAACGTATATTCATCCAAAATTATTCGTTATGGAGAAGGTCTCTGAAATTTATAACACAAATAATGATGAAAGTAAGTCTTCACTGTGCATGCCTTACACAAGTACACCTAAATTACGAGACATTAATTACGGGATTGCCCTCCTTGCTCTTTGACTAAAAGATCCTCATTAAGTGAAGTTAAACTCGAGAAAGATTAATTCTAAAATAAAAGTATTTCCACGGTGAGTATGTCAAAAAGAGACTTTAAGGCCGCAAGTCCCGCGGCGGGCGCGTCTTATCAGTTCACTCCCAGAGCGCAGCAAATACACCGCTCAGTTCTACGCGACTTATCTGTAATTGCTTGCCTCCAAGTGTCTTTCAAGGAAGCTTCAGAAGGTGGACTCCATCTTACACTATTCAAAACTGAACTCACTATCGCTACGTAAGATCCTCAGAAACGGGTCAAGTGTTCTAATGTTTATTTGAACGAGGGCATTTTCGGTTCGCTTCCCGGGAGAGCAACTTATTAAATATGGAGGAGGGCCACTTACGTTTTTGTCTGCTACACGGAGCATGAAGTAACGTCCTTTGTAGTAAAGTTTGGAGACGCGAGGCCAATAGTAGTTCGCAACTGTGTGTTTGCCGCGCAGTAACAGCAGACCGCTTGGCGCCAGGCCCAAGAAATACTCTACACTGTCTTCGCCCTATGATACAGAAATATATTGTTGTTAAAACATCCCATCCCTTGATAAAGTACGCTATATAAACCTCGTTCAATAATGTCAATATACAGCTTCGATAGTAAATTTTGTGGGTGGAAAGTATAAAATTATTACCAAAACAGGATGAAGATCGACTCCATACATGTCGAGCCATTTCACTTTGTCTAAATAACTAAGCTCGGCTTGCGCTGGAGAAATGCCTCTGCAAACAAAAGAAAACAACGGCTGAAAGCTGTAGGCAATTAAATTAATTGTTAGCCTTAATTAATAAGTAGAGGCGCATAATTCACAAAAGGCTAAGTAACAATGAATAATCACGTCTCTCGAGCGGCCGTCGCCCGCTCTGCGCCTCAAGTACACATAATTTGCATGTAATTGCGACTCTGTGACGCGTCGCCGGCCGCAGACTGCATCTTTGCACAGTTAAAAATTCATTCAATTAGTCGAGAAAGGCGGCGAAGTTTAATTTCCGGGACGGGAGCGACGCTTTCGGTGTGAAACTGCTCTCTCTGAAATCTTAATTTCGGAAAAGTTGCTTCCCCAGACGCGCTCGCGAAATCTACAGTGTATAAGTTACTATCTATGTTTTGTGTAACAGTTTATTATACCAGTTGCTTTTACTTGTTATTAGGAACGATGTAAGAGTATTAGGTACTCTGAATATTTTAGTAAACTTACGTGAGAGTGCGGTGAATTTCCGCAGCGCGAGTTTCAAGCTCCGGAGTCTGATGAGCCAGCAGTCTGAATTCCGACACGTAGCCTGGTGTGTGTCGACGGGGATCGTAATCACCTAACTCCGCTGCATAAAAAAATATAATAATATTACAGTAATTTTCATAAGCAACATGCACATAAATGAAAACGATACAAAGTAAAAAAAAAAACAACCAAGCGCCATAAAGTTAAAAAATAACACGACAACATTGTGTCATGTAAGCTCATTAAGCTGATGGGGTACTTCAAACAGTAGATAGAAATAAACCGGGAGTGCGGGCGTCGTTGGAGCTCCGCATTTGGAACAAAATGTCTGTTTAGAAACGCGTGTAGCGGACCGAAAATATCTACAACAAACACCCCATGTGTGTCAGTATCCGTATTATGACAACGACCCGTCTTTAACAATTGCAATTAATTTAGCGAGCGATTGTGTCCTAACCAAACACACGCCTTATGAACACAAATATCTGACTTCGCAATGATAACATAATTGGGGTTAACATTTCACGAGTGTATGGTTTTTTTTCAATAATATTTGGCTTACTACTATTTTATCTGATCCACTATGGTAAAAGGACTAGACATTACGTATAAATGCAGTTTGTACATAAAACTTGATACAATGCCGTGCAAAACACGTGTGTTTTCGCAGATAGAGGGGTCGAGCATAGAAAAACCATAAGGGAACGAGACTGACAGTCATTTCCCGTTTATCTTTTTTGTCCTCGGAAATCGCAACATCTGGTGCGCCTCAATGCGAAAACGTAGATGGCGTTGAGATCCCGCAGTAATGAGGCCCATGTTTATCTTGAGACTGCTGTCATTAGTAATCATATAATATATTCAACACATTGCGCACTACTAAAGTGTCGGTCATGAGAGTATTTATGGCACTGATTTTTTTAAATATGAAACGTTACCGGTATAAATATGTTATTTGTTTTATCTTTACATCTTACATCTTACATCTTACTCTCCGTAAAAAGTACTAAGAATTTTTCCTTGAAATATCCATAATGCACTTACGCTCGACACTTATTATCCCGTTGAGATGCTGTGTGGCGACGGCCATAAATTTTATTATTTTTAAACTATTTTGGTTTCCTTTATGGACTCTTTACATGCACAAATAAGTTAAGTAGTTTTATGAGTGTTAACATATTAATAGTGGTAATGGTAAATACACGTAGTAACTTTAAATCACTACAGATATGTTTTGATCTAAAATATTGCAAAGTACAAGTCGTTTCATTTGTATACATTAGCATCAAAGAATTTCGCCGATGGATGGTTTCGATCAGTTATGCCATCTGTACAAGTCGAGAGCCGTGAATCTGTTTCACGTTTGGTGGTGAAATATCTGTTTAGAGCACATCGATCATGGGGCAGACCGCCCATACGCGGCGAGACGAGTGGATCCAGCCAGCCGGGGCGTCTCGCACTCGCCACATTTTACTGTCGACGAATAAACAAAATTCTTTATTGCGCTACATTTAAAGTACACAAACTTCCTAGCGGAAAATACTTTATGTATCTCTAGAAAACGTTTACCGAAATGTCCGAATACATATACACAAAGATGGGTAGTAAAAATCGACCAAACCTATCATATGTAAAGCTATCATAAACGTAACTAACCGTATTCAAGGGTAGTTCAAAGATTTTTATATGATTTTCCACTGTTTAAGAGCCGTGGCAGCCTAATGGTTTAACCTACCGCCTCTCAAGCAGAGGCCGTGGGTTCGAATCCAGACCAGCATCTCTGAGTTTCTCGGAATTCGTAAGCGAAAATTAATTTGAAATGTACCATGAGCTTTTCAGTGAAGGAAAACACCGCGATGAAACCTGCACATTAAAGAAGGTTCACAACCCTCGGAAAACATGTCCTCAACCCACAATGGGCCAGTGTGGCGGTTGGTCTAAACCCTCACTTGAGAGGAGACCCGTGCCCAGCGTTCGGACATATAAAATAGTTAGATGATGATAACGATGAATGTTCAAAATAAGTGTAACAAAACTACTCATATTGCCGAAACTAAGGAAGAAGTATCTCATAAGCTGAAAAAGCTGCTAAAGTAGTAAGTCTAATTTCTACGGCATGTATACCATTGTCCATAGGTCTGATTAATGCGAGGGGTGGACAAAGCCCGCTAACTTGTTGCGAACCAACTCGGTCCATCTCAAATTGTCTAGTTTAACGTTTCAACACTATTCCCAAACTCGAACGGCTACAGTAGACGGCTAAAAATAGACACACGCCGTGATTAATCGTATTTCGTCGCTTCTTAAGATGTTTCATTATACTTTTTACGTCTTTTTACGTAGGCGGTATTTTAGGAGTGGGTACTTTGGACAGTAACAGTAAGTAAGTTGATAAAGAGACTCTTAATAAAATATATAAGGAAGGGGAGGGTTTTTGTTTATTTTTTTATGCTGCTGTTAGTCAGTTTTGCGGTTTAAAGGCTAATCATTTATCATAATTAAAAATAATAATAATGTTGATTGCACTGTTAATACAATAGTGTATTAACTCAAAAGGTGTATTTTTTTTACAGAAAATGAACAATAAATTACTCAGTTCCCGTGAAAGATTATTAAAATTTATGTATAGGTTATAATGATTAGACATGACATGTAATTTTGTCTTACGACATGTAAAGTATGATCGAAATGTTGCCGATATTACAATATAACGTAATAAGTATAGTCAATAATAAAATTATTAATAATCTCAGTACAGAGTACTAAAAAAACCGACCTCAAAAGTACGTGGAATTACGTCTATTTGCTAAGTTTCATTGAAATATCCCCTAGTTCGCCACTACACAGGACTTGATACTGGAGATAATAAAAATAGGTTCTCACTACGACACTACTCAAAGTATATCGAGAGAAAAACGCCTTGAATTGGAGAAATAGCAAAGTCAACTAAATAATTGCTAAAAGTAATTGCTCCTAAATTAAAGTTAGGCGCTATTTATAAAAATGAATTTTCATGCGTGAACAGCCACCCTTTGAGGTGGATGATTTTCTTCAAAATGAAATGGGACCACTATGGAATTTTTGTTGGAAAGGGGGTACCTTTCCTACAAAAAAGAATCATGAAAATCGGTTCACAAATACCGGAGTTATCACGTAACATACATACAAAAAAAAAAGAGAACATACAGTCGAATTGAGAACCTCCTCCTTTTTTGAAGTCGGTTAAAAATTTACTACAGGCATCTAAACAATTTCTTACTTAAAAATAATAGGGGAGAGCGGGGCTGAACGTTCCGATTTTTAAATAAGTTGAAGTTTTATATTGAAAATGAAGGATTTTATTTTCAACATGGGGAAATATTAAACAAATGTTTATCGCTTTTTTTAATAGTATAGTCACTCCTACTAATATCTCAATAGTCTTTTTCATAGAGGCAAATCTTTGACAAATTTCGAAGCGGAACATTCAGCCCGCTTTGGGGCGCATTGTTCCGCCTTTGAGGTAAATTGTTCCGCCTAAATTATGACAGGATAACAAGGATTTTCTTAAATAAAACCACCTTTTTTATAATTGTATGTATGTAATGTTTATATTGTGCACAAATAACTTAGGAAAAAAACAACTACATTCTTTTCTACATTTTTTTCATTTCTTCATCTGAATCACAGTTGAGACACACACAAGTGACTCTGTCATATTGTATAAATATTTGACATGAGCCCGTTTGTAGTTTCGCATCCTTAAAACAAAGAAAAATGGTCATAAGAATTTTAAGTATGCTTGCAGGTCAATTGGCGAAGTTGTTCCTAGGAACAACCAGCCCCTCGAGGGAGGAACTTATAGCCCCAAATTACGTTTTTATACGAAGACTGACATACCGACAAAGTAATAGAATCAATGAAAAAAATACTTCAAACAATAAGATTCCTTACTAATGTCACTACAATTTAGAAAAGTTACGTATGAATCGGCCCATAATAAACAAAGACACACCAAAAAATTTAAACTAGAAAAAAATGTTATAATTATTAATACAAAGGTCGAACACTCAGAAAAAATTCCTTCGATCCGGCCGGATTCGAACCAACGTCTTCTAACAGACCGTGGCAAACGCTATGCCAACTAAGCCACGGAACGCACCAGCGGACCTCACGAATTTTTCTATGTGCTTATTGTCGTGTCTTTGTATTTGGTTTTTCAACGACTTTTTAATCGTAGCGCCATCTATAAGAAATCTATGAAAGTTTTATCACCCAGTTAGATAAATTTGCAGCTACCAGCCCTGACGAGAGATGTCGTTATTCAGTGTATTTTAAATTTTTATTGAATTGATATTCAATTATTTTTGTGAAATTACTCCACTAGTTTGTTATAATTATAAATACAAATATCGAACTCTTAGAAAACATTCCTTCGATCCGGCCGGATTCGAACCGACGTCTTCTAGCATACCGTGCCAGACGCTATACCAACTAAGCCACGGAACAAACCAGCGGACCTTACGAATTTTTCTATGTGCTTGTTGTCGTGTCCTTGTATTTGGTTTTTCAACGACCTTTTTAGTCGTAGCGCCATCTATGAGAAATGTATGAAAAAATGTACTTACGTGATGTTTTGACAGCTCCACGCACATAGCCACACTTCCGTCGTCTCTGGAGTAACTGAAATGGCTGCCGGCAATGCGCATCACCTGACGCTTTAACGACGTGCTTCACATGTATTGCTATATATTTTTCTTGCAAAGTTATTGCTGTAAAGAACAACTTACCTCGGGAACTACCAGTCCCGGTCCCACTATCATACCTTTCAGTAAGAACAGTTTTGATCAGAACTAGGTCATATAAAGTTTGTCTCAATTTGAGTGAAGTAAATATCTATTGTTTCTTACAATATTCGAACGATGATTACATTGACGTCGTGTATCGTGTAGAGATTCAAATTTTACGTTCAGCAATATTATAATTTTGAATTTGGACAATAGCAGTGTGACATATTAACAGATTATAACAAAATATCGTTATTCGATGATCTGTAACAATATAATTGAAATACCCCAACACCTACTTGGTGTTATCCGACGACCTGACAGTTATCCGACG